AAAATCTAACAAACAGGTATCAGAGACACTCTCCCAGTACCTTGAAGGGGCCAGTTTCGGATGGTCTAGCCATGTTGCACTTCCTTAAACTTGAATAGACAAATTATGTACACCATTGTAAAACTGGTCATGAGACCACAGGAATGAAATTTCCCTTCTCTTAGGTCTCAGTTGCCTGAGCTTTAAAATGAAATACTGGATTAAGCAACTCTTGGGTTTTCTCTAGTTCTACCCATGGAGCAAAGAATTAGGAGAAAAATCATTTCAGAAAACAAAATCTAACCAAACAAGAGTTTTATAATTTAAGATAAATAGTAATCAGGAGAACATCAGGGATAGTTGTCAGATGAAAAATCATTGTAAGCATTTCTTAGCAGAGAGGTAAAGTATAAGACACAGAGAGGAAGAGCCTTATCCAAAACCATGTAATCAGGAAGGCCTGGAGAGTCATGAGGTAGATTCCATTGGGAGCTCTATGCCCTGAGTTAATAGATTCCACAACCCAAGAAGGACTGATCAGATCACTCAGCTGGATCTACAGTGGGGTCTCTCTAACTGCAGAGAAAACTACACATCTCCATCTTCTTGAAACAGAAGCCAAAGGGAATTATTAAGCATTGAGAAGAGAAATTTCCAGGGAAAAGAAAGGCTTGTTTGGTCAGAACTCCTCTAGAATTTCCTCCTAACTTGTGAAAATATCAGTTGGTCAAGATGTCTGGAAGACTCCCCATCCATCAACAGGAACTATCCATTGTCTCCCACCTTGGCTGTGGAAAGATTTTGAAGAAATGCATTAAGACTGGTTGAAATGGGAAGAAAAAGTTCAGAAAGAAGGAACCCCAAAATCCTGGAAAAGAGTGTTTCATGCTAAAAATCTGTTAGAATCTTTAATGGTCAAGAAAAACCCATTTGGAAAGAAAACTTAGAGCACAGAGAGACCATACAGCCCTCATCCAAAAGCAAAGACCATGGAAGAGGGCTAGACAAGGCAGGAAGGGACTTCTATCTTGGAGTCAGCAGAGTCTATCACCTGTGGAGAAACACTTGTTGGCCAGGTTTAGCATCCAGCTGAGAGGTTTTATTCTTTGTCACTTGTCACTGAGACTCATTGTTTTCCCTTCTACTGTGACTAAAGAAAGTTACTTCTGTTCTTACAAGTCCTTAGAGAACTCTCCTCTGCCACATCTCTCTCCCCAGTCTGTTGCAGTTAAACCTTTTGGGAAAGGAAGCCTCTTGCAAAGTTTTCTGCTCGTCTCGGTTCACCAGTAAACAAACTCCCTTTCAGGGAAACATTGAAGGGAAAACTGGGGAGAGATTCTATGGGTCAATCTGGGAAGAACTGACTCTTCTTCCATTCCAAAATGGAATGGGAAATATTGACTTTTGTTCTGGGATATGACCTACATTGTAAGTAATCAGTAAATATTGGATGCAGGTGAAGGAAACAATAAATCTTCCAGAGTCTTCCAGACTTTTGTCCCTCTGGTTCCTTCTGCCTCTTCCTGTTACTTAAGCTATAAGATGTTCCCATCCAATATCACACTGACCTTTCTAACCTCAGTGCTCAATTCCACTGGAATTTCTCAAGTCAAAAATTCAACAAATACTCTGCTATGAAAAACACATCACCTCCCTAGACTGACCACCTCTTTCTCACTTTTCCATCAGCTCTGACCCAGTTGAGTTTCTGTCATACTAAGAAATTTACAGAAATAAACATAGCATTGCACAGACACGACATTGAAGTTACATAGAGCTGAGTGTCAATATTTTTAGGCATCATTTTGAGCTAGGAACCTACTTGAATCCATTTACTCATTTGTAAAATGGGAACAATAATTTTTCATCACAAAACATTTTTTGTGTGAATTAAAGTGATAAACAACCTTAAGTCACCTCCCTGTTATAAGGTTCTAAGAATTGTAGTTACTAGTGTAACTTGCCTCCATTCTCTCTAAAGGCACAAAACTGTGACAGAAACACAGACTTTACAAATATAATATAAGGTTCATTAAACAAATATCCAATGCCTATAGCAAGCAACAGAACAAATGCCAGGAAGGGGAGGATATTTAATTTCCAAGGTTACCACATCATAATATTGAAAATTATCCAGTTTTCAATGAAAAAATAACAAAGCATGAAGAAAATAAAAAGTTAGAATTCATCCACAGAAGAAAGCAAAGACTTTAGAACTACTGAACAAAAACTTTAAGTCAACTCTCTTAAATATTCTCAAAAAACTAATGCACAGTGAGCTACAGAAACTAGGAAAGCAATGCATGAATAAAAAGAGACAACTACATGTAAAAGAATGAAACTAGAACACTTTCTAACACCATACACAAAAATAAACTCAAAATGTATTAAAGACTTACATGTAAAACCAGAAACTATAAAGCTTTTAGAAGAAAACATAGGCAGTACACTCTTTGGCATATATCACACCAAGATCCTCTTTGACCCACTTCTTAGAGTAATGGAAATAAAAACAAAATAAACAAGTGGGACCTAATTAAACTTAAAAGCTTTTTCACACCAAAGGAAGCAATAAGCACAATTAAAAGATCCTCAGAATTGGAAAAACTAATTGCAAATGTAGCCACTGACAAATGGGTACTCTCCAAAATATACAAGCAGCTCATACAGCTCAATAGCAGAAAAACAAACAGCCCAACAAAAAAATGCACAGAAGACCTATACAGACATTTCTTCAAAGGAGACATACAGATGGTCAATAAATACATGAAAAGATGTTCAAGATTACTTATTATTAGAGAAATGGAAATCAACACTGTTAATACAGTGACTAGTATTAATCTCACACCCGTCAGAATGGTCATCATCAAAAAATCTACAAACAATAAATGCTGGAGAGGATGTGGAGAAAAGGGAACACTCTTGCACTTTTGGTGGGTATATAAACTCGTCCAGCCATTATGAAAAATACTATGGAGATTTCTTTAAAAATTAGAAATAAATCTACCATATGACCCAACAATCCCACTACTGGGCATATAGCCCAAGAAAACCACAATTTTAAAAGATACATGTACTCCAATGTTCATTGCAGCACTATTTACATTAGTCAGGACTTGGAAGCAACCTAAATGTCCACTGACAGATGAATGGATTAAGAAGATGTGGTACATGTATACAGTGAAATATACTCCACCTTAAAAAGAACGAATTTAAGTTGGTGGTAATGAAGTGGATGAACCTAGAACCTGTTATACAGGGTGAAGTAAATCAGAAAGAGAAAAACAAATATCATATATTAAGGCATGTATATAGAATCTAGAAAAATGATACTAATGAACTTATTTGCAGGGAAGGAACAGAGATGTAGTTGTGGAGAACAAACTTGTGAATACAGCAGGGGAAGGAGAGAATGGGTTGACTAGGGAAAGTACCATTGACATATATACATTATCACATGTAAAATAACTGGTGTGAAATTGCTATATAACCCAGGGAGCCCTGACTGGTGCTCTGTGATTACCTACATGGGTGGTATCGGGAAAGTGGAGGGAGGGTAAAGAGGGATGGGATATATGTACAATTATGGCTGATTCTTGTTGTTGTACTGCAGAAACCCACACAACATTGTAAAGCAAATTTCCTCCAATTAAAAATTAAATTTAGAAAAATATAGAATAAAAGGCAAAGAAGGGCATAATAAAATGATAAAGGGATCAGCATGAACAGAGTATATAGCATTCATTAAAATGTAAAACCTAATATAGGAGCACATATATATAAAGCAAATATCGTTATTGTTGTTCAGTGTGAGGTACAGCACATCATAACAGAGTCAATGTTTTATAATAACTTTAAAAGGAATATAGTCTAAGAAAATATTGAATTGCTATGTTGTTCACCTGGAACATAATATTATAAATAAATTGTAACTGAATTTTTAAAGATACTATTTTAAATTCTTCATTTAATCTTCTATAGTATGAATTTCATCTTGAATGAACTAGTGTTAATTGGGCTTATGTTTCTGATTCTTGCTTGCTTTGGGGCTAATTTTCAAGGGGAGATTTATATTTATTTTATTTTATTATTATTCTTATATCTCTCTAGAGAAGGAAATTGCAACCCACCCCAGTATTCTCACCTTGGAAACCCCATGGAGAGAGGATCCTGGCGAGCTACAGTCCATGAGGTCACAAAGAGTCAGTCATGACTGAGCACACATGCATGCACACACTTGTCTCTCTCAGCAAGTCTCTGTAAAAAATGCGTGCCAATCTCCTTCTGTATTCCAAAGTTGGTGAAGAGCTCTTTCCAGGCTTCTGATGCCATATCCTTAAGCATGTTCTAAAGTGAGTCTTCACAGATGTTTCCCTCATTATGTGAGCTCTATAGTAGAGCCAATTGTCTGCTAACCTGGAGATCCTGAGTTATCCTAGCAGGCACTGTAGGGAGGCTGAGCTGTAAAAGTCCTTCTTTTCCTGCCTGGCTGTGCACACCTTTCTCTTCTTTAACACCTTTCTCTACTCTCTTGTTTCCTGCTCAGTGTGCTGAGTGCTGTCCTCTATGTTCCCACGACCCAACTGTGACGCTCATCCATGGTTGCTCCTCCAGCCTACACCAACTTTCACTTAATCTCCTTTCCAGCTCAAAACTTATCCACAACATGGGCAGAAGAGCTGCCAACTGGTTTTTGTCTAGGAGTGGGTGTTCCCTTTAACCTGTTTTCTACCCTGGTTCTCTCTGATTAATGCCTCCTTTCTGAACCTGTGGTCTTTGAGTTTGTAATTCTTGCATTTAACCTGTGTTCTTTCTTTGCTTTATTTTCTTTCTTCTCTTCACATCAACCATAAAAGGAGCCCCTTCTAATGCCCACATGCCGTGAGTGCATGTACATGATATTTTGCCATTTCAGCTTTAAATCACCGTTATTCCTGAGTCATAGGTCAGTTTTGCAGAAGTAGACTGAGACATGCTTTGCAAGCAGAAAGTTTATTAGAGAATGCTCTCAGAATTAAAAATTCTGGTGAAAGAAGAGGGTTAAGGAAGAAAAGTTGGATGCAAGAAGAAGTTGTCTGCAGTTCGTCAGATGATCCTATGGGGAGACTGAATTTGGGGAGCTCTGGAGCTCGGTTGTCCCTTCAGGGTCAAACTGAGACAAGGCAGTCAGGCATTTATATCCTATATTACCAGTCATGAGATTCAGACAGCTCTCCAAGGAGAACCTTGGCCTTCAGCAAGATGCCTTTCCCCAGCATGGACGATTCCTTGAGAGGAACACAGCTGAGAGAGGTCACCTTCCCACTCTCCCAGCACCTGAGGGCTGAAGAATCTGTGTCTTCTAGTCTTTGTAATCCCCAAATCTCTTACATTGCCTATACGCAGCATGGACAGGATTTATTGAATTAATGTGCTAATCTGGTTACATCTGGTCAAAGAATGACTTTTATTTTCAGTGGGGCATGTTCATAGCTCCTTCAGTCAAACTACAGTTGAATAATCCAGGTTCCCAGGGCCCAGAGCTGTATAAGCGGTGGCAGTGCCATGCTATACCTGTCTCCCACCACATGGACACCTCCCCAGGAGTTTCTTGAGAGCACCAGCCACTTCCTTGTTCCTCAGGCTGTAGATGAGTGGGTTGAGCATAGGGGTAATCATGGTATAGAAGGCTGAGACCACCTTGTCCTGCTTGGAGGAGTGGTAGGTCTGGGGCTGCATGTAAGCAATCATGGCAGCCCCATAGAAGAGAGACACAACTGCCATGTGGGACGAACAGGTAGCAAAGGCCTTTTTCTGACCTTCAGCAGAATGCATGCGGAGCACGGTTATCAGGATCAACAGGTAGGAGATGGAGATAATAGAGAAGGGCAGAAGCAGCATAAGGACACAGCACACATAGATCATAGTTTCATAGAGAGAAGTGTCAGCACAGGCCAGCTTGAGCACTGCAGGGATGTCACAGAAGAAGTGGTCGATCTCCTGAGAACCACAGTAGGGAAAGCTCAGGGTGTAGATGGCTTGAATTAACCCATCCACCAGACCAGAGAGCCAACACAATGCCACCATGAGCCAGCAGACTCGGCGGTTCATGATCACTGAGTACCTCAGTGGGTTGCTGATGGCCACATAGCGATCATAGGCCATGAAAGCCAGCAGGAAGCACTCATCCCCCAGCAAGGTGACAAAGAAGAGGATCTGGAGCCCACAGCCTGTGAAGGAGATGGAGCCATGGCCCAGGAGATAGTCGATGGCCATCCGTGGTACAATGGTGGAGATGAGCATGAGGTCCATGAGTGACAGCCAGCTGAGGAAGAAGTACATGGGGCTGTGTAGACGGGAGTCAGTGTTGATGAGGAAGATCATGAGCCCGTTGCCAAAGAGGGCCACCAGAAACATGACCATGATGGTGGAAAAGAGAAGGAGGTGCAGTGGTGTGTGGTTGAAGAGTCCCAGGAGGATGAAGTGGGAGATGCAAGTCTGATTTTTCACCAAGGCCATTGTTCCTGCAGAAGGATGCTCCAGGCAGAAGGTTGTTATCTGAAAGCAGGAGGTTTATATTCAGTGCCATATTACTAAAGTCATTAATATTTTTCACAAAATTTTTCCTCTTTATATGTTACCTGGCTTAGAGTAACAGATATGTTCTCTCAAGAGAAAGAATGCTAATAAACATGCAGGCTGCTATTGTTGTTTTAGCTTCTAGGTCTTTCTGCACGTAATTGAAAAGCAAATGTTAAGCTATTTTTACTAAAATGGACACTGCTTCTACCTTTGGTAGGCTGTATCTGTCTCCAGCCCACACTGCTTCTCCTGAAGCTCAGTAAAGGATTTGCTTTTTCAGGGAAAAACTACTAAAGCAGAAAAGACATTTACCAACTTTGTGACCTAGTCACTTATAGTCGTTCTGAACCTGTTCTCTCATCTTAAATTGGGATAACAACTGTCTTGTAAAGTGATAGTAAAGATTGAAAGTAACAACTTAATCAATGCCTAGTAGTACAGAAATGACAACAGCTGACGTAACTTGATAATTTCTCATGTACCAGGTACCACGTTGGACACTGTCACATTCTAGCATTCAATCCTCATAACTGCTTTGAAAGAATAATGATTATTCCTATTTCACAAGTGGGGAAAGTGAGAGAGTGGGAGGTTTATTGATTTTTTTCAAATATAAAAGCCTAAAATATTTTCTAAGAAAAATAGTAAGTGAAAAACTGGGGACTACCCAAAAACCCAATCCAAAGGAAAACCTAAGTAAATTATGGCATGATTAAATGATAAAATAATATGTTGCCAGTGTGATACTTATGACATTTTAATAGATACTGAACAAAAAGTTTATATCAATGAGTATTTTTGTATTTCAAAAGACTGGGAGAAATATGCCAAGATATTAACCACGTGGTTCCACCTAGATAGTGGAGTTAAGAGTTATCTCCCTCCAAACTTTTGTTTTTTACACATTTTCTATTTAGAAATATAGAAATATAACTTAATTTTAAAGTAACATTATACTATGTATAAGATCAACAGCCAAAAATCTATATCTTTCTCACACAATACCACTAAGCAATTAAAAAGTGGAAAAAAAAAATATTTACAATTGCAGTAAAAACTATGAAGTAGGGACTTCCTTGATGGCACAATGGATAAGAATCCACCTCCAAATGCAGGGAACATGGGTTTGTTCCCTGGTTTGGGAAGATTCCACATGCTGCGGGGCAGCTAAGTCCATGTGCCACAACTACTGAGCCAGCACTCTAGAGCCTGCAAGCCCTAACTACTGAGCCTGTGTGTGGCAACTACTGAAGCCTGCATGCCCTAAAGCCTGCAGGCCACAACTACAAGCTCATATCCTACTACTGAAGCCCGAGTGCCTAGAGCCTATGCACTGCAACAGGAAGAGCTCCAGAAATGGGAAGTCCATTCACACAATTGAAGAATAGCCCTCACTCACCACAAGTAGTGAAAAGTAGTCCCTGCTCATCACAAATAGAGAAAGCCCACACCCACACATAGTAATGAAGACTCAGTACAGCCCTAAATAATAAATGAATAAATTTTTTAAAATATTTTTTAAAAAACCGAAGTACCTAGGAAAGAATGCTGATTCTAAATATTATAAAACATAAAATAAATAAATAAATAATTTAAAAAATTTTAAAACATAACTTAAAAACAGAAAAGAAGGCCTGAAGAAAGCTATGCAGCTCAACATTGTAAGTATGCAAATTCTCCCCAAAATTAATCTAGCATTTCCATGTAATCATGATTAAATTCTCAACACAACCCTTGCAGTTTTGAAATGACAGTGTACAGCCAGAATTCTCTCAAAAGTCGCTCAAAGGCAGTTAGGAGATCAAGAGCAGAAATACTGTCCATGTTGGCTGAAGTTGGAGTTAACTTAAGAAGAACTCACTGAATAAAATGGTAAGGGTCACCAGAAGCAGTAGGAACTGAGCAGGGTGAAGAAAAAAGTGGGAAAGAACACCTGTGAGCATAGACCTAAAAGTAACTCTTCAAAGAGAGGGGCAAAACCAAAACTGATAGCTTTCACCAAAACTCTAAGCTTTCACTCCCATACCCTGGTTCAGTCCCTTGTTGAGACACTGAGATCCCACAAGCTGCACAGTGGCGTGGCCAAAAAAAAAAAAAAAAGAAGCCCTATAATTCTTTAACTTAGAAACCTGAGGTTAACTAAATATCATCCTCAGCACTCAGAGTTCCGAGACCTATGATACCAGAGACCCAAGAACTCCACCTCTGGAATTCAATGGCTGATTGAACATACTCAACTTTTGCTTCCTCAAAAAAATCTTACTAGAAAGAGGGTAATGAGTAAAATCTGAACACGAGAAAAGACAAGAACAACAAAGCTTTTAGAACCTAGAATAAATGAGTGAATTGTACTAGCACGTAGACCTAAGATGGCTAAGGGACCATAAGTCAGGGCAAGGGTGAGACTGGAAATGGTGATGTTCTGAAAGTCGGCTAAAGGAGCACAGTTCCCTCCCAAATCCACACACATAGGTCCCACCCATCCCTCATCCTGGCAGAAAGTAGGAGAATAACTCTCCAGAGAAGTTGAATCCAATAATTCCAAACCCAGTGGAGGCCCAGTGGAGGTGATGGTGCTCTGAGCACAAGGCAACATGTCAAGAATGGAGGTAGGGGGAGTTCCCAAGATCCAGATTTATTCCCTTTAAGCAGGAAAATAGATAAGCCTCTACTCAATTCAGAAAACATCTAAAGATACTGACATTGTAAATTAAAAAAAAAAAAAGCCCAGTCATTTCGCTCAAAGTGAAGCCACAAATGACATACATGCCCATGGGCTTGCCTGGTATCTCCGCCTGGGAAAGAATCCATTGGGAAAGAATCCACCTGCCAAGCAGGAGATCCGGGTTTAATCCCTGGGTCAGGAAGATCCTCTGGAGAAGGAAATGGCAACTCACTCCAGTGCGCCTGCCTGGGAAATCCCATGGACAGAGGAACATGGTGGCTACAGTCCACGGGGTTGCAAGAGTCAGACATGACTTAGCAACTAAACCACCACTACCACCTACATGCTTAGGGTGTCCAATGTGTTTTTTTGACCCCACATTTTAATAAAGGTAGACAACAGAGGGTCAGCAAACATTTGAAAAATGTTTCCAACCTCAAAGAAGGAAAGGAAAATCAACAGCAGAGCAAAATGGATGAAAAAANGTGTTTCTTTTGACCCCACATTTTAATACAGGTAGACAACAGAGGGTCAGCAAACATTTGAAAAATGTTTCCAACCTCAAAGAAGGAAAGGAAAATCAACAGCAGAGCAAAATGGATGAAAAAAGAGACTCTTCAGGGAAACAAAACTGTTTACATTCAACATTAAATGAAATAAGGGAAGATACTATAAGCATGAACTAGAATGATGTGCAACAGGAAAAGGAGCATTCAGAGGATGGAGGATTTTTTTGTTAAAATTTTGTTTTTTTTTTTTCTTTTTCCGGTTTTTTTTGCCCTTCCTTGGTTTGTTGCCCGGCCAGGCCGTTTTGTTTTGGTTTGTTTATAGTAGAAAAAAGCTTGAAAGCAATCTATCAACAGAGGAAAAAATGAAGAAATACTGGAATAATATTCAAGTAAGAAACAGAATGAGATTGCTTATTATGTGTTGATAAAAACTTCTCCAAAATAATACTGTCCAAAAAAAAAAAGCTCATTACAAAAAAAAAAAGCACATTACAAAGTGGTCTATATAATGTAATTGTAAATATAAAATGCTATACTGTGTAATATATAATTATGTACTATAATTATGTTATATATTACTATGTAAATTTTATGCTTTCTTAATATAATTATACTATACCACATATCATACAATATATACAAGTAATTTATATAATATTACATTTTACTTATATATAAATGTGTGTATATATACAGATATATAAATACATACATAGAAGATATTTATATATAATACATTCATATACAAATAAATTAAATCTCTGGACTAAAACACAGGAGCTACTAACAGTGTTTGTCCCAGAAGAAAGAATTAGAAGAATCAGATTGCTGAAATCTAGGGTAGAAAAACAAAGTCTTTATGGTATATGATGTTGTGTCTCTTGAATTTTACTCTTTGTGAGACAATACATACTTAAGTACATAAACATAATGCTGAAATGATAACCAATAGCATTACTAATGGGAATTGATAAAGTGAGAACCAAGATTCCTGTTGAGCAAAGAGTCAAAAAACTTTAAAAGGGTTAAACAATGGCTAACAGACCAAAGTTAAAAGTGATACTGCCTCATCTATGATCAAAATGTAAAAAATCTAGTATCAGTGAAGGAATAGAAAAACTGACCAACAAAAAAGAATAAGTCCATAATCATCCTATGTGTGTGAAAATTTACATTCTGATTTAGATAATACCATTTAAATTCTGTGAGAAAAGAAGGGCTATTCAATAAATGGTGTAGAACAATTGCTCATCTCTTTTGAAAATCAATTAGGTCTCTAATCATACCACACACAAAAATAAATTCCAGAAGCTTAAAGAACTGAATTAATAAATAACAGTATTAAAAAAAAATATGGGAGAATGTGTTTATGACCTAGGACAAAGACTAGATGCATTTAAATATGACATAAAGAATGAAGTATGCATATATATACTACCTATTTTACATAGTAAGTATGTAATAATAAATAAAATATCACTTAATATGTGGAATCTAAAAAATGAACTTATTTACAAAACAGAAACAGACTCACAGACTTAGAAAACAAACTGATAGTTATCAAAGGAGAAAAGTGAAGGAGAGAGATAAAGTAGGAGATTGGGATTGACATATACACACTACTGTAAGTAAAACAGAGAATCAACTGTTTAGCACAGGGAGCTCTACTCAATACTCTGTAATAATATATTGGAAAATAATCTGAAAAAGAAAGTTACATGAAAAAAAGAATAGATACATGTATATGTGTAATTAAACCACTTTGCTAGACACCTGAAACTAACAAGCCTCATAAATCA